CTGCTGGGGATCTTCCCCAAAGAATTAAAAGAATCATACCACAGTGATATATGTGCACTCATGTTCATAGCAGCACAATTTGTAATAGCTAAAACTTGGAAGCAGCCCAATTGCCCATCAACTTGAGACTGGATAAAGAAACTGTGGTTTAATAAAATGGAGTAGTATTCAGCCATCAAAAATGAGAAATTAGAGACATTTATAGCTAAATGGATGCACATTGAGGTGATACTCTTAAGTGAAATAAACAGGACACAGATGTGTAAATACCAAATAGCTTCTCTAGTGTGAGAAACTGAAAATGTAAATAAGGACTAAAAGGTATAATAGATAATGTGAAATAGGAAGCAAAGGGGAGGGCGAAGTGGGAGGGGTAGGGGAAAGGAAAGAATGGAATGGAATTAATATGAGAAAATGAAAAAAAAGGAAACAAAGTCTTCGTAAATACGGAGGGGTAGAAGGGTTAAAGGGAGGGTAGGGGAATGGGGAAAAATACGAACCAAGAGAGATTATGTAAAGGTGCAAGTTTCCAATGATGAATGTCATTATATTGTATACCTAAAATGTACCAATAAAATAAAATTTTAAAAAAAGTTTTTTCAAGACTTATTCCAAGCACAAGTGACAGTGCCAGACACCCTAAATGAATTTAAAGAGAAATAAAGCATGGTCTTTGCCCTCATTGAACACATATTTTAAATGTTATTTATTGTTCATGAAAATTTGTTAGTATTTTTCACCATAAATAATACATCATTACCAGGTGATACTAAGGTAAAAAATTATAGAACTGCTGTGCAACCCCTACAAATGATACCATTTCCAGAAAAATCTTTCTTGAAATAACAAATACTGCTTATCATATCCTTTTGGCAAAGGTATTTTCATATTTGGTCATGAGTCAACAAAGAATACAGCCAGTCCATTATTAGAGTGAGGCACTCTCACAAGAACTTAACCTAGATTGGTAAAATCAGAATAACCTGGACAAGACCAACCATCTACAAAAACCAGTGTAAGGGGCCAGGGACTTAGCTCAGTGGCACGACTCCTGAGTTTGATCCCTGGTACTAGAAAAAAAAGGCACTGTAAATAACTCTGTCACAAGCAGAAAGAGTGTGCTTTGGTGTGTGTGTGTGTGTGTGTGTGTGTGTGCATGTGTGTGTGTTTTCCAGGTACCAGGGATGGACTCAGGACCTTGTGCTTGCAAGGCAGGCTCAGTACCACGGAGCTACACCCCCGGCCTCCAAGGAATGTGCTTTGGAAATCTAATGAAGGCGCCTCTCAGTGTAAAGAAAGCAACAGCCTAATGATGGTTTCAACTGATGTGAAAGACAATGTGTGACCAGAGGCCTGCATGGAGTCTAGGAAAGGGGCACAGTCTGGTTGGGCTGTGGGAGCGCCTGGGTCCCTTTGCAGGGGACACTCGTCAGAAGATGTAACAGGCATTAGAGAAATCTCTCCTTGATGCCACAGCCCCCGGCCCAGCAAAGACCCCAACCTACCAGGCAGGGTCAGGCTGCTTCTGAGGAAGACCTTCTTGTACAGGAGCTACATGTTGCACAGGGACAGCTATTCTAGTTCTCTCCATAAAGTAGTGACCTTGCACTGTGGCATCTCCAGCAGTCCTTTGTGGGTTTGTTTAGTATGAGTCCAGCCTAAATCCTAACCAAGTCTGATGCCTTGCCCAAAGTGAATTAAGTGACAAGTAATGCTGGTCAGGGTGACCCTTGAGCCATTCCTTGCCCAGATGTCAGCCTGTCTTGAAGACACCTCTGGAATTTCACCTTCTTTGACCCCCACAGTTATCCACCAGTCCTGCGTGGACCACAGTCATCAAGTGGCCCCTGTGTGGAAAGAAGATGATAACTGCTCATCATTCAAGTTTCTTTTCCTATTTGGCACACATGACATTACCTTCTGATGCCTTCTTTCTGAGGGAAGATTGTTCATTATTTGTGTTTTTATTCTTCAAAAGATTGAGTATAGATTTTGCTTCATTTCACTGTGCTTTGGTGTGTGTGTGTTTGATGTTCAGTGCATAATAAAGACAAAATCAGTTCTGAGTCAGAGGTTGAGAAATGAACACTGTTAAATTAGATTTGTGTTCAACCCAAAGTATTTTAAGAATGAACTGACCACAATACTGAATTTAGTTCTTCAAATAAAAGTTTCAAACTTACATTGGAAGTCATTGCCAAGCTTGGAGTTGGAAGCCGAGGCTGCGATATGGGCTTTTTTTGAAGGAAGCGTAGAGGTTTCTTTGCTTCAAGAGTTTTATTTTTCTTATTCAACAAAGCCTGAAATAATACCAACTAATGTCACTTCTTATCTTTGTCTTTTCTTCCACTACCAGATTTAGGCTGCAGGTCAGAATTAATCTCTCTATGCTATGGCATGTTGGTTTGAGAAAGTCTGAGGGATGCTATGACATTCCTCAGGACACATCTATAAACACAGTACATGTTCTTAGTGTGTTCATTTTAATCAAAATTTGGTGAGATTTAAATTCTTTCTTGGACTTTTTTAAAGGTTCTGTCTTGTTTGTATACATAAAACCCCTAACTCTCATTTTTTCATGTGAGTTAATTTGCTCTTTTACATGAATGACTGCACAACAAGAAATTATCCTGTGCAGCAAAAGACTGAAATACTTTGGATGTTTTATTATTACAGGGGAACAGAAGAGCATTAAATGACAACTGTCTCAAAGTAGAGAGATATTTTTTCCTTTGGTAGTGAAGCCTGCATATCTAGATTTTCTAAAAATTAATTTGTCTGCAAGTGAAAGAGTATGTATGTGTATTTTTGCATACTATCTTTTTTTTCCTTTTCATTACTAAAAGTCTTGCCAAAATCATACATGAAATTTTGATCATGGTGCCATTTTAGCCATAGGGGAATATTTTTTAAAGTATCAATAATTCTGATGTTTTGTGATTTTAAAGTCATACTTTAGTTAATTTTCTATCATATAATAATTTTACATTTTATTTCCCATGAAAACATAAATAAGTGATATTTTTAAAACAAACACCAAACTAAGATCTTAAACTAGTAAAAATATGCAAATTATACTAGAAATTTAAAACACCAGAACCAGTTGAATGGAGCCTCTGAGTTTCTTCAAAAATAAGTGACAGAAAATAGATGTCTCTTTCCTATAGTAGCCACAAGGAGGGCATCAACAGAAAGCAGCAGCAGTCTAAAAGTATTTAATAATTGTAAAGTTCAGAATCTCTTGAGAAAAGACCCTTGATCAATACTCTGTGAAACCATTTCAAATCCAATCATTCATAACTGATTTTGGTGGTAAGGACGTGGAAAAACAGGCAGGCACTCTCACCCATGTTCATGGCAGCCCAGTTTATAATAGCTAAATCTAGGAAACAACCCAAATGTCCATCAACTGACAAATGGATAAAGAAGATGTGGAGTTTTTTTATACAGTGGAGTACTACTCAGCCATAAAGGAGGATAAATTTGAGGCATTTATTGCTAAGTGGATGCACCTAGAAACTATATTCTTGAGTGAACTAAATTAGACACACACATATATATAAATATTGCATTGTTTCTCTGGTGTGAGAAGCTGAAAGAGTAAATAAAGACCAAAATGCAGAATAGATGTTGTGAAATAAGAAGAAAATGTTTAAATGGGAAGGGGCACACAGGAAAGGGGAGAGGGAAAGGAAGGAAGGGAAAAGAAAAATAATGAAAAAATAAAGATAAAATGGAAACCAACCTCTTGTAAATAAGAAGGGGAAGAGGGATACAAGGGAGGGAAGGAGAATGGGGAAAAATATGAATCAAGATATATCATGTACAGGTACAAATTCCATATGATGAATATGATCATTATTTATATATAAATTGTACCATAAACTTAATGGTAAAAATAAAAATATTTTCAATTGTTAAAAAAAAACAAAACAAAACAGAACAAACTGCAACAAAAAACACAAAGTACAGCTTGAATAAAGAGAGCAGCCAGACTCAGATGTGCAGTCCTAGGTAATTCTTCCAAAAGTATATATTCTTCCAAAGTGAAGAAATAGATCATTCTAATCTTTTTTAAACTCTTCTCTTTTAAAAGAGAGGGGAAGGGCCGGGGATTTAGCTCAGTGTTTCACCGCCTGCTGTGCAAGTGCAAAGACCCGAGTTCAATCCCCGGTACGCCCCCCCCCAAAATAAATAATAATAATAAAAGAGAGGGGAAGAAGGAATACACCTCAGTTCATTTCAGGAGATCTGCCCAACACTGACACCTACCCCATTTATAGTCAAAATGGGAAAGCCATTTCACTTCTGAATAGAGACACAAAAAAACCTGACCAACATATTAGTAAATCAAACCCAACAATTTTTGGTACCAGGGATCGAACTTGGGTCCTTGCGCTTGCACAGCAAGCGGTGAAACCACTGAGCTAAATCCTCAGCCCTGAACACAACAATTTATTTAAAATAAGCTAATATAGCTTAACCAAGGCAAGTTTATTCCAAGTATACAAGGATAAATTAATATTTATAAAAATATAAACATTACCATAATAATTTTAAGAAAAAAAATAATTACCTCACTAGAAACTTTGATAAAATTCAACACAGACACATCATAAAAAACTTTAATAAATTAGAAATAAAAGGGAACTTCCCATCTACAAAAACAAACTTTCAGAAAGCGAGCGAATGATGAACACAGTATTCAGAAACAGGGAGATGAGGAGGAAAAGAACCACAGAGAGAAATGTAAATTATTGTCAAAGTCTTATTTTTTATGTTAAGTGTTCTTCTTTATGGATTCATGTTGTATTATTGGAATCAGTGTAACAAACAAATCTGCATGGGACAGTGATGTCATATACCAATGAATCCCAAAGTGTGGTTCTAGGGCTTACCATCAGCACATACACACATACACACATGCACGCATGCACACGTGCGCGCACACACACACACACACACAGACCAATTCGTATCCTCACTCAGGCCTGCTGGGGGTGGGGTCCAGCAACGTGTTTTATTTTTTTATTTTATTTATTTATTTTTTTTGGTACCAGGGATTGAACTCGGGACCTTGCACTTGCGAGGCAGGTGGCGGCACCACTGAGCTAAATCCCTGGCCCCCAGCAACATGTTTTAACAGGCCCAGGCTGTGGTTCTAATACGTGCTAATGGTGCCCATAACACTTTTTTGCCTAGTTGAGTTTTAAATGAGATGAGAAAGAAATTGAACATGACTTATTTCCTTCCAAATGCCTTGCTAGCAAATCCAAAAGGGGAAATTTGGAGCCTATTACAACTATTAACAGCAATAATCATTCCCAATACAGTACTAGAAATTGCTATAGCTCTGTATAATGTCAAATTTTATTATAGAGATCTAAAGTTGGAAACATTTTCAGAAAGTAATGCAACTTCTGTAAATGAGGAGAGTGACTTCTAAGTTTTTCTACACTTTGAAATGAGGGAGAACGCACAGTCATGGGCACTTCCAGAAGAGAAAGTCTAGACAAGAGAAAACTCCTATGGCTACGTGACAAACCCACTGGTCACTACTGCCCAAGACAAAGTGCAGTTTTTGGAGTACAGCATTTATCTACCCAAGTCACACTAAAAGCATCTTGTCTTCCAGATACTATACCTTATGGACCTCTGCTAACTCATAGTCCATCCTTATTCCCCTCTTTAGGAAACCTGCTTTGGTGGTAATGACTTTTGGTTTTGGAGGTTTGATTATTGGTTTTGTCACAAAATCTGGGAGACATGACTCAAGTTCAACTAAACCTATGGGAAGAAAATATATGTTTTTAGTATGCATTGCTTACATTTGCTATTTTTAAAGTATATGATTAATTTTGGTAGCTGTTTTCCAAGTGGTTTCATTAGAATTGTTGATAAGTTATAGGATGAACCATCCCTGAAATGTAAAGCAAATTTCTGTATAATTAACTCATATTCTTGGTTATTTAGACTATAAAATGAGAAATATACTCTAAAGTAAATATATTGTCCTATAACAAAGCAATAAATTCCATAATACTCAATAGAAAATTAATAATCCCATGATAAATGGTGCCGCCATTTAAAAGTAGATAAATGTTCACCAGTTTATCACCTTCTGCTTGGAAATAGCCAGTCAGAGATACAAGTTCAACAATGTAATTATCAAGTCCTGACCTTGGCCATGTGATGCTTCAACTTGTCAACTAAACTTTACATCGTGTAAACGAGCCTTGTGAACTTCATAAGAGGTATTGTCCTCTCCATGAATTTGACTCCTGTTAGCCATCCCTTTGCCTCTGGTTTTCTGACATTTCTTGGTAAAGGCTCAATTTCATTATACGTATCTTGTTTGGTTCATAAACCTGACATAAATATTTTTTCTAGTTCATTACTGCATAACTTTTATTATTAGTGGCATTAAACATTTTCAAATGTTTAGTGACTCGTTGAACTTGCTTCTTGCTAAATTATTTTATGGTGTGTCCATTCACTTATTTGGGTCTTAGGAGCTTTTACTGATTTGTATGAACTCACATTAATTGTATTAAATATATGTATTACTGTCCCTTACAAATATTTTTGTTGTTTAGCTTTTAATCTAAATTTATATATTTAATCTATATGTCTAGGATAGCAGTCTTTACTATACTTCTAGTTACATAAATTGATTACCTTCATAAGTGCTCAGATAGTGATTTTTTACTATAAAGTCCTCTGAGTTGTTGTCTGGGAAATGACCAAGGCGAGACAGAGGCCCATAGACTTGTGATGCATAATCAGAATATTCTTTGATGATATCTCTTCTCTTCAATTTCCCTTCTATATTTTTCCTCTTTCCTACAAGTTTTCTGATAGCTGAAATAAAACATATCTCTATGGTTATCTCCAAAATATTGCTTTGAATGATAAATGCAAAGAAATAAATCAATTCCAATCTTATTCATTGGGAAGCTACCAAAATGAATGGATTTCGCGATGACTCAACACAGCTAGAATGTAACCTAAAAACAGGGGTGTGCCAGCTGGGGACTTGGAATTTCCTCGAACAGGCAGGACTGACAGAAACTCCATCAGCCAGCATCCTCAGTTGGTGCTCATCAAAAACCTTTTTAACCACGAGCATTTACAAGCTCCAGAGTAAGAAGTGTTCAGTAAAAGCTTGTTAAATGAAGGAAAGAAACTCAAAATAAATGATATACTAGGAGATTGTTCTCCCCTACCAGAATAACTGAAAGGGAGGACTGCAGTTGCATCTTGGCTCACACCAGAATAACCGCAACATGTCCCAGCTCACAAGCTCTCAGGCTTGTCTGGCAGGCAGAGGGAAAGGGCACACTGCACACCGTAGGCAAGCACTCAGTCCTGCGCACTACCTCCACCTGCTCCTCTTGCTTTTGTTTTTTCCCCAAGTCTCATCATAGACCTACACCCCCTTCCAACAGCTGCGAAGAGCTCACTTCCAATGGGTGAGAAACCCTGTCACAAGGCTGAGAAGTCACCACAGGAAAGGGGCCACCTAACGAGGCTACCTTGTGACTGTTGCTTGTGTTTCATCCCTGGTGCTTTTGTCCATGTCTTGGAATCGTTGAAGTAAAAATAGTTTATATTTTACTATTTATCTACAAAGGTTAATTAAATCCATCACTAGTTATACCACACACTGAAAAGAAAGGATGTGAACAATATCTACATGAATATACAGCAGCTAGTTAAAGGTTTTTCTCATATCAAGAAAAAGTTAAAGGTTAAGTTCACTATAAATAATTTTTAAGTCATAATTTAAATTGTGTAATTGTTTTGCTAGTTTTGAATGATTTTTAAAAATGTGATTACATTGTTATTGTATATATCAATCCCTAATTTGAGTATGTAGGTGATATAATTTTTGTAAGTAAATAAATTATGTTAAGTGTTTCCTAGTAAGTAAAGCTATAAAATTAATATTAATAATTTAACATTTTTAGTATACATTTTAACTTGATTCTTATTCTGCACTGAATAAAAAATAAGCTATTTCTTTTTTCATGTATAAAGTACAAATATGTAGAGAGTACATAAACTTATATGCAATATACTACCACATTAAAATTTCTTAGAGTGATGAGTAGGAAAAAAGATCCTCAAACTGCCACGTTTAGGGGCAACAGTGGAGAAAAAGAGTTGAGCGATAGACTTCTCTATCCAGGGCCTTGATCACTGAAATCAGGAAACCCCTTACCTACACACACACACCCTGTAATGTCAGTGACTTGACTGCCTGTTAGAACATGGCCATTTGATTTCCTGAGTGAGGGATTTTTCTCTACTCCTCTACTTTAGGGAAATAACTTCTCTCTTATCCCTTACCTATTTGATACACCAGCCCCAACACAGAATTTTTCACCACTAAATGAGGTTTGGTCCAACACCCAAAGCACATCCCCTCCCACTCTCCTCCCAGCTCATATTGCACCATTACTTGAGACATGTGCGCGCTGGATTTGGGCCACTTTTGCCTGTTTTGCTTCCTGCAGTTTACACCACTGGGCATCCAAGTGCTTTGTGTTCAATTCATTTTGATTCTCATCACGTTTCTTCAGCAGCTTTTTTAAAATCTCCAGGCGAATTTCTTGAAGTCTTCAAGTAAATTGCAGAGCATTAAGAATACATGGTATCTCAAACAAGGCATTCTAGACAGCAAGGGAACAGCTGCCCCAAACAGGTTCATCTTTGTGGGCACCATATTCACCTACTTTGAGAAGGCTGCATGGGCAAAAGTGTGAGGATAAACCGAAGGAGTATGGGAAGCAACTCAATAGTGCATCTCTGTATAATAGGACTGTGTATAGGTGTAGTTAGGAAGGGTAAAGAATAGTATGCAGGCAGAGGGGTAACGGAAGGGTTCTCTAGACAGATGGGCTATGGGAAAACAGGAGATTTGTAGACAAATCTAGATTTCTGGAACTGCTAAAAGGTTAAGTATTAGGGGAGTGAAGAGAAAATGAGGTGTGGCATGCTACTTTAGAGGCAAATGTGAAAATGCCTGCAACTGGCACATAGCAGGTACTCAGAAAAATCTATTTCCCTTCCCTTTACTCTATGTGTTCTCCTAGGACCTTGCTCATGTGTATCCAGCTAGGTACAGATGATTGTGAAAGGAGTGCCTCCAGCCCAGGTGTTTCTGAATCAACACTTATGTCTACTTGAACCTACTGCTGTCCCTTGACAATCTCAAAAAACCTGGCTCATTTTGTTCCCGCCAAAAATTTACCCCTCCTCTCACATGTTCTTCCCTCTGCTAATGATTCCTCCTCTAAACACTCCTGCAGCTATTTCCTCACTCATGTTTTTGGTGTCTCTCTCCTAACCTGGTCTCCTTGGTGTTACCCTCTCTTCTTTCCAATCTTTGTTCCACACAGCCCTCAAGGTTTCTTTCCTAGAACAGAGCTCTGAATACATTTTACTCCTACTTGTAGAAGTCGTGCATTCTTTTATTCGCTCACTCATCTGTCAAATGCTTATTAAGTGCCACTATATTTAAGGCAGGAAACTACAATGCATGAGACAAAAGTCCCTCTCCAGAAGCACTGTGCAGGCAGAACAGGCGCGAGCCCCAGCATGGGCAGCACCGGAGGACCAAGCCAGGCCAGCAGCGTGAGAAGAAACTCCCAGTGGGGAAGAGGAGGGGAAGGTGCTGAAGGCAGATCACCGGGGGAACAAGGACCAAGGTTCGCGGCACTGACAAAGGAGAGGCCAGGCCTCAACAGAGGGAGTCACTGCTGCGTCAAAGGGACCAGAGAGATCACGACCACGTCACACTGGTGGAGCCACTCAAAGTGAATGCACATGGGAGGTGAGGCAGCAGGGACAAATGAGGATGGAGAGACAAGCACTTTCAACAAGGAGCCACACATCAACACCAGCTACCTTTCCCTCCAGAGTGAGAAGCACGGTCACATCACGTCAGTGACAGACTGTGTATACCATGGTCCCTCAAAAGAGTGGAGCTGAAAAAGCCCCCTGGCCGGGCGATGTCGCAGTCACTGTCACGCCATCGCACAATGCGTTGCTCACGTCCCTGTGGTGAGGCCGGGAGACGCAAACCTGCCTCACAGCTGGACGTGCAGAAGAATAGCACACACAACTATGCACAGTACTCCACAACGGGAAAAACAGCTGTTACTGGCTTATGTGTTCACTACACTATACTTTTATTGTTATTTTAAGGTGTACTTCTACTTATTAAAAAAATTTTGCTAGAAAACAGCCTGCCAGTGGCAACCACAGACACCTTGTGTTTACTGTTTCTCTCAGCTGCAGTAAGAAGGCACATTGAGCGACTGAGCCACGCCACATAGGTCTGTGTCACTATGCTCTGTGATGTCACCCAGGGATGAAGTCCCCTGACCACAGGTTTCCCAGAACATGTCCCCGCTGCTGCTAAGCTTCAGCTGTCAACTTCACCACTTTCTCTCAATTTCTTCAATTACAAATGGAGACAATAGTATCCTCTTCATAAAGTTGTTGTGAGCATTAAACGAGTGCTAAAACAGTCGCTCTCAAACTAAGCGTGGGTCAGAATAATCAGGAGAGCTTGGTGTGACATCGAGTGCTGCACCCACCCTGATTCAGTAGGGATGGGACGGGAACTGGAAATCTGCATCTGTAACAGGTTCCCAGGGAATGCGGATGTGGCTGGTCTGCGGACCACACTTAGAGAACCTCTGCCTTAGAACATTACCTGGCTCAGAGTAAGCCTCTGTAAGTGTTAAATGCCTACATCATCTGCCCCCTCCTCCTCCTCACTGCCAATACTGTCCACATCAGGACGTCTTACTGACCCACCCACCCACCCAGCGCAGAGCTACCCTCCCCACTCGCCCATTCCAAACAGAGAAGACCCTTCCCTCAGCCCACAAACCCTGCCCCAGAGGCGCTGCCCTGGAAGGTTTTTGCTCCTCCTCTGGCACTTCCCATGCCCAGCCCAGGGGACCACAGGAGGTCTGCTGGGGCATGGGTCTCCTATTCATCCTGCTTCCTCATCTCACAGCACAGAGCCCAGCATATAGGAGGGATTCAAAATACATTTTTTAAAACTATCCTCAAGGTGGACCAGTGGAACAGATTAGAAGATGCAGAAACAA